CGGTGATGCAGTGGTTAGCGCACTGTGTGTGTGTGGGGAGCTGTGGTGCAGTGGTTAGCGCACTGTGTGTGTGTGGGGGGAGTGGTGGTGCAGTGGTTAGCGCACTGTGTGTGTGTGTGGGGAGCGGTGGTGCAGTGGTTAGCGCACTGTGTGTGTGTGGGGATCGGTGGTGCAGTGGTTAGCGCACTGTGTGTGTGTGTGTGGGGAGCGGTGGTGCAGTGGTTAGCGCACTGTGTGTGTGGGGAGCGGTGGTGGTGCAGTGGTTAGCGCACTGTGTGTGTGTGTGGGGAGCGGTGGTGCAGTGGTTATCGCACTGTGTGTGTGTGTGTGGGGGGAGCGGTGGTGTAGTGGTTAGCGCACTGTGTGTGTGTGGGGGGAGCGGTGGTGCAGTGGTTATCGCACTGTGTGTGTGTGTGTGGGGAGCGGTGGTGCAGTGGTTAGCGCACTGTGTGTGTGTGTGGGGAGTGGTGGTGCAGTGGTTATCGCACTGTGTGTGTGTTGGGAGCGGTGGTGCAGTGGTTAGCGCACTGTGTGTGTGTGGGGGGAGTGGTGGTGCAGTGGTTAGCGCACTGTGTGTGTGTGGGGGGAGCGGTGGTGCAGTGGTTATCGCACTGTGTGTGTGTGTGGGGGGAGCGGTGGTGCAGTGGTTAGCGCACTGTGTGTGTGTGTGGGGAGTGGTGGTGCAGTGGTTATCGCACTGTGTGTGTGTTGGGAGCGGTGGTGCAAGTGGTTAGCGCACTGTGTGTGTGTGGGGGGAGTGGTGGTGCAGTGGTTAGCGCACTTCCTCGTGTGCCACAGCGCCGGCAGCTTTCATAGGCGCTGCTACTCGCTAACAGCACTTGCCCCAACAGCCTGTCACAGGCTACACGGGGGATCTTTGTCTTTGTGTGTTCATAGGCACTTGCCCCTACATTCTACTACAGGCTACACGGGGGATCTTTGTCTTTGTGTGTTCATAGGTGTTGCTGCTGCTACTCGCTAACATCACTTGCCCCAACCGTCTGTCACAGGCTACACGGGGGACCTTTGTCTTTGGGGGTGGTGGTGGGGGGGGCTGAGGGGGGCCGAGGGGGCCTATTGGGGACGGTGGGTGGGGGGGAGTTGGAGGCAGGGGGGAGGGGGTCACGTGCTCTACGCGGCCACGTGCCACACGCTATGGCTGGAGGGAGAGAGAAATAAGTATAACCCGTAAAAACAAAGTTTTTCACTATAAATCCTTTATATGCGTGGCGGCTAGAGTCCTCTCGTCCTCTGGCTTGAGATGGCTGCCACCTATGGCTCAGATGATTGTCTGCCAGCATTAAGCAATTGGTAATTAAATATTTAATTTGTTTTCCGTAAAAAGTGTAAAATTTTGGAACAAAAAATTTCACGAACATTAATTGTCACGCGCAACGAGTCTGTGTGCAAAATGTCAGCTCGATTGGATCACGGGAAGTGGGTTAAAAAACGACCGAAAGATTTGCACGGTCGTAAGCAAGCAAGCAAGCGAACTTAATATAAAGGATTTAAGGAAACCACGTGACAGCGAGAGAGAAAGAGGTGGGGGGGGGGGGGGAGAAGTGATGATTGACAGGGAGATGGGAGAGAGAAGAGATGGGAATGATGAGATGATACTCATGGGCAGGCAGAGGGAGAGATTCACGAGGGCAGACACAGACACACACTGGGAGGTCCTCGGGGAGAGGGAAATCTCTCAGCCTGGAGAACATCGTGGAAGAAAGTGGGGACGTTTAGATTTGAAGCTTTCGTGACTGCAGGGATTGATTTGATTGGTTTTTTTCGGTAAAGTCACGTGGAAGGGAAATAATAAAATAATAAAAATATAAAACAATACAAATTCTCACGACGTTTCGACTGCAACACACAAGCAATCATCGTCAGGTGTGAAATTCACAGCAAGAATTTTTTTTTACAAAAATTCTAATTTGTGTGTGTGTGGGGAGCGGTGGTGCAGTGGTTAGCGCACTGTGTGTGTGTGGGGAGCGGTGGTGCAGTGGTTAGCGCACTGTGTGTGTGGGGGGGGCGGTGGTGCAGTGGTTAGCGCACTGTGTGTGTGGGGATCGGTGGTGCAGTGGTTAGCGCACTGTGTGTGTGTGGGGAGCGGTGGTGCAGTGGTTAGCGCACTGTGTGTGTGTGGGGAGCGGTGGTGCAGTGGCTAGCGCACTGTGTGTGTGTGGGGGGAGCGGTGGTGCAGTGGTTAGCGCACTGTGTGTGTGGGGATCGGTGGTGCAGTGGTTAGCGCACTGTGTGTGTGTGGGGAGCGGTGGTGCAGTGGTTAGCGCACTGTGTGTGTGTGGGGAGTGGTGGTGCAGTGGCTAGCGCACTGTGTGTGTGTGGGGGGAGCGGTGGTGCAGTGGTTAGCGCACTATGTGTGTGTGGGGAGCGGTGGTGCAGTGGTTAGCGCACTGTGTGTGTGTGGGGAGCGGTGATGCAGTGGTTAGCGCACTGTGTGTGTGTGGGGAGCTGTGGTGCAGTGGTTAGCGCACTGTGTGTGTGTGTGGGGAGCGGTGGTGCAGTGGTTAGCGCACTGTGTGTGTGTGGGGAGCGGTGGTGCAGTGGTTAGCGCACTGTGTGTGTGTGTGTGGGGAGCGGTGGTGCAGTGGTTAGCGCACTGTGTGTGTGGGGAGCGGTGGTGCAGTGGTTAGCGCACTGTGTGTGTGTAGGGAGCTGTGGTGCAGTGGTTAGCGCACTGTGTGTGTGTGTGGGGAGCGGTGGTGCAGTGGTTAGCGCACTATGTGTGTGTGTGGGGAGCGGTGGTGCAGTGGTTAGCGCACTGTGTGTGTGTGTGGAGAGCGGTGGTGCAGTGGTTAGCGCACTGTGTGTGTGTGTGGGGAGCGGTGGTGCAGTGGTTAGCGCACTGTGTGTGTGTGGGGAGCGGTGGTGCAGTGGTTAGCGCACTGTGTGTGTGTGTGTGGGGAGCGGTGGTGCAGTGGTTAGCGCACTGTGTGTGTGGGGAGCGGTGGTGCAGTGGTTAGCGCACTGTGTGTGTGTAGGGAGCTGTGGTGCAGTGGTTAGCGCACTGTGTGTGGGTGTGTGGGGAGCGGTGGTGCAGTGGTTAGCGCACTATGTGTGTGTGTGGGGAGCGGTGGTGCAGTGGTTAGCGCACTGTGTGTGTGTGTGGAGAGCGGTGGTGCAGTGGTTAGCGCACTGAGGACGGCTGCTTGCGTTGTGGCCGAAACGTCGTGAGAATTTTATGATGTTTTATTTTTATTATTTTATTATTTCCCTTCTACGTGACTTTAGAAAGAACCAAGAATATGAATGAAGTGGGGAGGACCCCGCTGAGGCTGCGGTGCCTCAAATATTGGAAGAAGAAGTCCCCCCTGTGAGTGGCTGGCTTGAGGTGCCATCTGTTGAGGAAGTACTGAAGGCGATCTGGAGTCTGAAACTAGGAAAGGCACCGGGCAGAGA